ACTACCTCAGACTCCTGCAATGTGTTGTGGGGACTTGGTACAAGAGTATTCTAAAGAGTTTGTAGAAAATTGTGTTGAAAGTTTATTTTGGTGCAAAAAAAATTTCAAAAGCCATGCATGAGAGGAGGCTTCAAAATGTTCATGGAGGCCCATGCTATAGCGCAGTGGGTTAAAGCCCCAGCCTGCAGCACTAACATCCCATATGGGCACCAGTTTGAGTCCTGGCTGCTCCTCTTCTAATACAGCTCCCTGCTGTGGCCTGGGAAAGCAGTAGAAGAGGGCTCAAGGCTTTGGGCCCCTGCACCTGCCTGGGAGACCTGGAGGAAACTCCTGGCTCCTGGCTTCGGGATCAGCTCAGCTCTGGCCATTGCGGTCATTTAAGGAGTGAACCAGCAAAATGGAAGACCTCTCTCTCTAGCTCTACCTCTCTCTGTGGCTCTTTCAAATGGATAACATAATTCTTTAAAAAAAATTTCATGAAAAATGCATGTGAAAAACTTAGGCATGGGTTTCAAAAATTTTTGCACCAAAATAAATTTACCTTTTAATTCCATTTTCAAACATTTACTTATTTATTTATGTGAAAAGCTGAGCTACATAGGAGAGGGAAAGAGAGGAAGAGATACAGAGAAACAGAGAGAGAGAGAGAGAGAGAGAGAGAGAGAGAGAGAGAGAGATCTTCCATCCACTGGTTCATTCCCCAAATGCCTGGAACTGCCATATCTGGGCCAGGCCAAAAACAGAAGCCAGGAACTCCATCCTGGTCTCCCACATGGGTAGCAGGGGCCCAAGCACTTAGTCCATCTTCTGCTGCCTTCCCAGGTGCATTAGCAGGGAGCTGGATTGGAAGCAGAGCAGCTGGAACTGGAACTGGCACTCCAATTTGGGATGCTGGCATCGTAAACGGTGGCTTAACCCATTGTGCCACAATGCCAACCTCTTCTTTTTAAAGATTTATTTATTTACTTTATTTGAAAGGCAAAGGTCATCCCAGGAAGAGGGAAGGAAAAACAGACAGAGAAAAATCTTCCATATACTGGTTCACTCCCCAAATGGTTACAATGGCCAGGGCTGGGCCAGGCTGAAACCAGGAGCCTGGAATTCCATCTGGGTCTCCACATGGGTGGCAGGAACCCAAGCACCCAGACCATCTTTTGTTGCTTTCCCAGGTGTGTTAGCAGGGAGCTGGATCAGAAGTGGAGCAGCTGGGACTTGAACCCTTGCTCATATGGAATGCCTGTGTCACAGGCACCAACTTACCCCTGTGCCACAATGCCAGCCCCTTGCCAACTGTCTGATCCTTTTCTCTCCATTCTCTCCCCTGAAGAACTTGGACCTTCAGTCATCACCTTGTGTTAATAACAATGAAATACGTTTTTAATGAGTCAGATAGGAAATGTCTTTGCCTTTGTAGCATGAGAGTAGCCACAGGCAACACCTAAATGCATGATCATGATTGCTTCAATAAAAGTTCATTTACAAAATCAAGCAATGCACTGGGCTGGCCACCAGATTGTCGTTCAACAACCTCTGAAATACCTCACCTAGGCTCAGACCTGTCTGGCTGTGAGCAGCAGTTGTCCTGAGGAGTAGAGTGGCCAGGGGGCCCATTTAGAGACAGCGGAGGCTCTGTAGCTGACTGATCTCACTTATGTCCCAACTCTGCCACTCACTACCACCTGCCAGCTATGTGACCTGGGGCCAGGTGCTTAACCCTCCTGTGCTCAGCTACCTCATCTACAAAATGGGAATAAGAACAGCAGTGTCTCACAATAGCATCCTAATAATTGTTGGGCAACTTCAGTGCATCCATGCATGTGAAATCCGTACAACAGTGCCTGTTAGCGCTATAGAAATGGTAGGCTATTAAAGGGCTCCCTCTGCCTTAAGCCCCACTGGTGGAAGTGCTATAGCGGGAATGACCTCCAGACCAATCCCAGACGACCTTGTCTTTGGCACATTTCAAGTCAAAGTCACAGCTCCGCTCCTCCCCTGGCCTGTCTCGCTTGCCCCTCCTCCGTGGATTAACCACAGCCAATTCACCTCCCACCCGACACACCTTGGAACCACTTCCCATCACTGAGCTCACAAGCCGGCAGTTTAAAGTCACAGCACTCAGACGGTGCCGTGCAGCCCTGGCCCGTGGTTTCTGAGATGCTAGCCCCGCAACAAAACCGAAAGGATGCAGATCCAACTGATTTTTGACAATGATGATAGGACAATGAAATAGTCTTTTCAGCAAATGCAGCTAAAACAACTGAACGTCCACAGGCAACGTACATGAATCTCATCTCGTACTTCATGCCGCATATAAAATTCACTCAAAATGGGCCAGAGGAAAAGTTCTGGAACAGCAGAGTAAGCTACCACTCGCCATGCTGGCGTCCCGTGGCAGAGCACCAGTGTGAGTCCCTGCTGCTCTGCTTTCAATCCAGCTCCCTGCTGATGTACCTGAAGGCAGTAGAAGGGGCCCAAGTACTTGAGCCCATAGAGAAAAGCTGGAGGGAGTTCCAGGTTCCTGCCTTCAGCCTGGCCCAGCTCTGGCTGTTGTGGCCATTGGGGAGTGTACTAAAGATAGAAGATCTCTCTCCCACCTCCCCCCTTCACTCCGCCTTCCTAATAAGTACATATTTTCTATAAAGTCCTGGGAAAAGTGGTGTTAGCTGCACAATAGTGTAAATATATTTAATGTGACTGAACAGTACACTAGAAAAGATTAAAATGGTTAATTTTTTCTTCTTGTATTCTACTGCAGTAGAAAAGATTGTTAAATGGATCATAGCTCCAAACACAATAGCTAAAACCATAAAAGTTCTAGAATAAAACATACCAAAAAAAATCTGTCTGAGCTTGGATTAGACAAAGAGCTTTTAGATATGAAACCGAAACCATGATTATGGGCAGGCACTTGGTTAAGATGCCGCTTAGGACACCCACATCCCATATCACCGTGCCTGAGTTCAAGTCCTGCCCCCGGTTCCAGCTTCCTGCCAATGTACGTCATGGGAGACAACAGGTGACGGCTCCAGGAGACACAGGTTGAGTTTCTGACCCCTGGTGTTCCCGTGTGGGATGCAGGTGTCCCAACAGGGGGCCCAACCACGAGGCCACACCCATCCCCCCGTGGCCTTTCAGTTGTCCTGAATCTACTGAACTTGCCCTGGCCCTCCAGATCTTCCCTTTCCCTGCCTCTCCCCATGACTCTGCTGCCTTCCTGCATCCTGCACTCCTGGAAGGGCCTTTTCCCCAGACCATACGTGAGTCCGGGGGAGAAACCCCACCCTCTCCTGGACTCCCGGTGCATCTCCCTGACTGTCCTTTCCAGTGTCCAGTGCTGCTCTTTTTTTTTTTTTTTTTGACAGGCAGAGTGGACAGTGAGAGAGAGAGACAGAGAGAAAGGTCTTCCTTTGCCGTTGGTTCACCCTCCAATGGCCGCCACAGCCGGTGCGCTGTGACCGGTGCACCGTGCTGATCCGATGGCAGGAGCCAGGTACTTATCCTGGTCTCCCATGCACTTGGGCCATCCTCCACTGCACTCCCAGGCCACAGCAGAGAGCTGGCCTGGAAGAGGGGCAACCGGGACAGAATCCGGCGCCCCGATCGGGACTAGAACCCGGTGTGCTGGCGCCGCAAGGCAGAGGATTAGCCTAGTGAGCCGCAGCGCCGGCCCCCAGTGCTGCTCTTAAACCTGCGCTGGCAGTGCCACCGTCTGGTGGCTATTGAGAGTCCCCACCTCCAGCTTTTCTAACTCATCTTTCAGTATCTGAGAGTAGACGGTGCTGTCCAAGCAGAGCTCACACAGCCTAGACCAGGACCCCACACTCCGGGCTGCCTCCTCCTCCTCCACCCTAGTGATGCTTTCTTATCCTCCACCCAGCCTGTACCCAGCCAGATGCCCCAAGGGCCTTCCATGCTCATGTGTTCCTGGTCATCCCAGGAGCTGACCACTTCCCCTGGCCTGTCCCGTGTATCTCTCCAGGGGGCATGTGAGATTGGCCCACCAAGATGGTGCCACCTTCTGACTTAGAGGGACTCAAATTGTTTATATGAACAGGGGAGCTGCCAAACAACTGACCCAGGACCCTCACCCTAGGGGTGGCCCTGTCTAGCTCTATCTTGCACTGCACATGCCTGGGAAGGTTCTTGTCTCAAACGCCTTTGCACCCCCTCCCCACAGTAGTGCCAAGCTCAATGCCTTGCACATAGTGGATACTCAGTAAGTATTTTTCAGAATGAATGCCTGAAGGAATCATAGCATCTCTTTTTAGCCATGGATCTTTGATTTTCTCGCACAAGTCTTAACATCTTCATCGTTCTTCTCAGCTGAGAGAGATTGCCATTGTCTCGTCCCAAGCCCTCCAGTCACTGACCTGACAGTTGGTGTGCAGTCAGCTTATCAAGAAGGAACAAACGGCCTCCAGATTCTGTTGGCAGGAAACTGCACCTGGACTTCAACTCTGAGACATGCGGAAGCAGCCAAACGTAGGGATGATGGCCAAGTGGCTTCAAGCTAAGCAGCCCAGCGGTTTGGATTGAGCAATGCTTTGGCTGCAGCCAGCTGCAGTGATAGAACCTATGTTTGTCGTGCTTTGCTTTTGGTCTTCTGCTCCAAGGTTGAGGATACTCTGCCAAGGCGGGAAGTGAAAAGGAAGAACCGGGCAGAGGAAAACTGACTTCACCCATCACTGAAATACTTCGTACCCGAAGCACAACCACCTTGAGAGAAGAACATGGTGGCAGCTCTTCACAGTCACCTGCTTGGGGGGCTTGGGTTTGGTCCTGACTCAGAGGAAAATACAACACCAGCAAGAGGGCCCCCCACAGCACCTGAGCACTCACAGCCAAGCCTGGGCTCGGCCCCAGTGGACATATGAGAAAAGATGATGGACAGAGCCACCAAGAGGGCGGGAGGCCTGCTGTTGCCAGGTCCACCCACGTGGATCACAATGACTGCATGAGGTCATGGAATGTTGAGGGGGAAATGCATGTGGCTCCTCAGTCACAAAGTCGCAGGCGGGTGGTTATCCTTTCGCTGGGGCTGCCGGGAATAGAGCTTTGTGCCGCTGTCCCTGATGATCTGGGAAAGGGGCTGCCTCTCCCAGGCATAAATGGGGTCAAGATCACGCACGCCCAGTGACCACCAGAGCCCACTCTCCCTGGGGCTCACTGGGAAAGAGGGTTAACTAGAGGCTCCCCTGGGATTGGCCAGGGTTGCGGGGGGGGTCCCACACAAAGTTTGAGACAGAGGCGAACGAGCAAGCATGCTTCCTAGGGAAGCAACAGAAAGGTGGCGAGAAGCTGACAGCAACCCTCAGGAGAGTCCCGACACCATGGACAGTGACACACCTCTTGAGCTCGAGACACAAGGTGAAAAGTCTCCCACCTCTCACCATGCAGGCCCTTCCGGGCCCTGCAGTGCAGTCCCCAGGGATCACAGCGCCCTGGAAGCCCACCTCACTGCTTCCTGGGACCCTCTAGGATTGGGGAGATGGCTTGGGTCCCAGGTCCAGCACACAGTGAGAGTTGGATGCAGAGCTGTGCTGAAGCTGGGTCGCACCAGCTATGGCCAACTTTCATTCTTACCTGGCCAGCTGCTTGATGTCCTGTTGGTAGCCTGAATTCAGCTGTGTTGGAATATTTACACCATATGAATTGGCTCATGCTATCAATCAGGATGTTCCTAGTATAGTCCCTCCCACCCTCTCGAGGAAGCCAATTGTTAACTATTTACCAATATTCTACTGGTTGAATGAAATTCTAAGATTGTCTGATCACCCAACTAGTTGTTTGGCCTCTCAATGACCACATGTCATAACTTCCAGGCCACTGCTACCTGCATCCTATATCACACAGACCTTATCTCACAAGCTAGGAAATGAATGCCGGGCCTGCGGATAAGGACTAAGAAAAACACATGCCTGTGTGGACTCCCTAGGAACCCACCATCTGAGAATCTGAGCGGTCAAAACTTGGGACCCCAGCCACGGTGCTCAGCACACCCCAAGAACAGGCAGGCTAAATTCTGCCAGGCCGCCCAGAGGCCCAGCGTCTTCCCTAAGCCACTGGGTCCTGCTGGTGTCACAGGACTGAGTTCTGGACCTTCTGTATAGCTTCCAGAAGCCCATGGCTTGTCCCAGACCGGCAGCCAATGGTGGGAAAACCACCTGTAGCAGGTGCAGCGCACTGGTGTGGGGGCAGCTGTGCTCCTGTCTAGAGCAGCTCAGCAGACTCTGAGGCACGTGGTTACTCAGAGCAATGGATTCCACCCAAGCGGGTTTTCAAGCCCCTCCTTCTTCCTGGCCATAAAATGATCCATGTTGGTTGGGTTAGAAGCTTCTTGTTGAGAAACCAGATCGAATTCTTAGACTCAGCTTCTCTCGAGCTCCCTGGAACTGCTCCTGGTCCATTTCCAAGTTACCACCTGCCCCACTCTGCCCCTCCCCAGCACCTTTTGTGCCCAACAAGGGGCATGCCCAGGCACCAGGCATGCCCCTTCACCTGGAAGAGCAGGTGCAGACCCTGAAGCCCACCCAGGTGAACGAGGAGGGGGAAGTGTGAGCAAGGAGCCCGCCCCCACCACAGCCCCCCACAGGGAACAGGGTGGCAGCAGCCAGTGTGAAGGGACGCAGCCGAGTCTTTAACATAAGAGCCCATGGCAGGCAGCTTCATGCTGGGAACTGTGCCTTGTAGTAGAACGAGACCTCCCTGGCCGTGCAGGCCACCTTGAGCCACGTGCAGCTGAAGGGGGGAATGGGGTGGGCTGGGGAAGGGGTGAAAGGCTGCAGCTAGAATCTGGGATGTGGGGGCCGTGTGGGTTTCAGTCCCGTTCATTCCCACAATCAGAGATGTGTTCCGCCTCCCCCTGTCCCACCCCCAGAGGAGCCGGAGAGCCCACTGGCACCGCACAGCAGCGACGAAACGCTCTACTGTGAGGCCGAAGCGCCCTCGACTGTGATGAAGGAGAAGCCAGCCTGGGAGAACTCAGAAACAGACCTCGAGGCTGAGGGTGAGAGTGGGCCGGGAGGAGGTCCCCCACCCCACGCCCAGCGTCCTCAGAAGCTGGGCGAATCCAGCTCTGCCGGCCGCGTCTGGTAGAGACTGAGGCAGACACGCCCTAGGCTCAGTTTGATGCCACGTTCTGCCGCTCCCCCTCCTCTTCTTCCTCCCCCTCTTCCTCCTCCACCTCTTCCTCCTCCTCCTCTCCCCGCCCCCACATCAGCTTGCTGGAGCCTGAACCAAAACACCAAGAGGGCTTCTGTCTTCTAAGTGCTCCCCTCCGTGGGGCCTGGTCTGATCTTTGCAGCAAGCCCAGGGGCTGACCCTTGTCACCATCACCTGCCTTTTCCAGACGAGAAAACCGAGGCTTAAAGAGATAGTGTGAGTTGCCCAAGCCCACCATGTTGGCCTGTGCCTTTCTGGACCTCGCCGATGATCTGAGCATTCAACATTCCAGGGCCCAGGCACGTCTGGCTGGCCCATCTCACATCCCAGTGACTTTCCCAGCGTCACCTTTTTTTTAAAGACTTATTTATTTGAGAAGGAGAGTTACAGAGAGAGAAAGATCTTCCATCTTCTGGTTCACTTCCCAAATGGCCGCGAGCCAGGAGTCTGGAACTCCGTCCAGGTTACTGGCATGGGTGGCCGGGTCCCAAGCACTTGGGCCATCTTCTGCTGCCTTCCCAGGAACATTAGCAAGGAGCTGCCAGGACTCAAACCAGAGCTCATGCACAATGCTGGCTTCACACGTGGGCAGCGGTTTACCTGGCTGTGCCTCAATGCTGGCCCCACGATCACCATACAGCTCTTCTCTCCTCTGTAAATCCACGCCTGCCTGAGCATCGGGGGCCAGTTGAGCTGGCACAGAGACTCTGTTACTGCAAACACCACCCCCACCCTCTCTCTCCTCCCAGTTTCCCCAAGGAGAGGACGTACCGAAAAGAACATTTGTGAAGCAGGGGAGAGTGATGTCATCCCATTGGATGGGACCAGCCTCAAGCTTCCCAGTCTGAGGCTAGCCCAGTCACCACTCCTCTCCCGTGTTCCTGTAGCGGGCAGCAGGCAGGGAGGCTCAGGAGCGGAGGCGGAGCCTCGCGCTGCTGAATTGTGCAGCGTGTCTGCACGGGGTCAGCTCCAGACCCCCTCTCCGCGGCCAACACTCAGCTTCCCTCCTCTTCTCCGCTGACCTCTTGCCTCGCCGTGTTGCTCTTTCTCTTGTCCACATCAAAGCTGGCACGAATACTGCTCTCAGTGCCTGACTCCGTGGATGGAGGAGGTGGCGAAGCGCAACCCCAGAGCTTTTGCCCAGGGCTTCTGCTTCCGTCTCCCCTGCCCTCTTCCCCACCCGCAGCGAGCGATCACAGGTGCCACTGCTGCCCGTCAAGTATAATCAGGGCGGGCATTAGATGCGGCAGTCAAGACGCCCACGTCCCACACCGGAGTAGCTGAGTTTGAGTGCTGGCCTCGCCTGACTCCAGCCTCTTGCCAATGGGCACGCTGGGAGACAGCAGTGATGGCTCAAGTGCTGGGGTCCCTGTCTCGTGGGAAAACTGGATTGTGTTGTACACTCCTTGCTTCAGCCAGGCCCAGCCCCCAGCTGCTGTGGGCATTTAGATAGAATCTTTCTCTGCCTGCCCCCACCCCCACCCCACCCCCACTTATCAATTAAGTTTTAAAATGAATGAAAAATCAAACACAGTGATTACAGGTAGAAAGGTTCAGCATCAAACACAGCGGAATTAGTTCCAAGGACAAAACTAGGGGTTGCCTTCCCTGCTTTGGCCAACAGGAACCTCCAAAGGCTGAGTTTGGCTCCAACAACCCTGACCCAAGCAGAAACCTGGGCTCAGCTGCTCTGGCTTCCAGCTCCCCTGCAGCTGGTGCTGAGAAGCTGGGAACGGGGCTGGAAGGATTTGCTGGGCAGACCCGAGACTCGAGACCAGCAGGAGCCGCGAACTGGCAGCCAGGACCGAAGACAGACAGAGGGAAGCAGGGTTTGCTCACTGGAGAACTTGGTACCCGAGGGGACATTTAGCCAACCAGGGAGTAGAGGGTTGCTCCTGGCATCCTGTGGGTACAGCCCAGGGGTCCTACTAAATACCCTGCAACGTATAGGGCCAACCCCTCCCAGCGGAGAGAGATCCAACTCAAAACGTCAGCAGGGCTGAGGTAGAGAAATGCGCTGCACGACCATCCCAGGAGAAGGCAGGTCTGTAGCTGTGCTTACAGGACCAGCCTCCCCATGAAGCTGCTGTGCTGCCACCAACAAAGCTCTCCTTGTCTGCACAGGCTGGGTGTGGGTTGGCCAAAGGCCCCGGGATCTGAAGAAAAACAGATGCAGACACAGACGCCAGCTGGCCACAAGAGGCCCTGCCGGCCACTGGACTTGCCTAATGAGGACGCCACCGCAGGGCACCCAGGATCCTGGGAGGCCCAACACCTATTGACCACAGGCCAGGCTGAGCTAAAGCCTAAGGAGTAAAGACCCCAAGGGGCTGGGGTGCGAAGGCGGAGTCCCCACTTCTGTTAGCTGGTTCAAGCACCTGTCAGCTGCGTGCGTGTTTCCAGGGTGGAAGTGTCACGGTAAAGCCTCAGGCACAAGTCCCCACCCGACCTGCATGCCTTCCTGTCTTGCACTGACTTGCATCTCCAGATGCCCACTCTGTGCTGCTTGGGCTTTGTTTCTTCAGCTGCTACTTCTCCAAGTCTTTGATGAAACTTTAGTCATGGCTCATGGCATTCTCTTTAGCGTGGCAGCCACGCTAAACTGAGAAGGAGACACTCCCAACCATTCAAAGTTACCAGCTTCAGGGACAGGCATTTGGCCTAGTGGTTAAGACAGTTAAGATGCCCACATCCCATGGGGCCGGCACTGTAGTATAGCAGGTAAAGCCACCTCCTGCGGTGCTGGCTTCCCGGCTGTTCCACTTCCAATCCAGCTCTTTGCTGTGGCCTGGGAAAGCAGTGGAGGATGGTCCAAGAGCTTGGACCCCTGCACCCATGTAGAAGACCCAGAGGAGGCTCCTGGCCTCTGGCTTCAAGTTGGCCCAGCTCTGGCCATTGCAGCCATTTGGGGAGTGAGCCAGCAGATGAAGACCTCTCTGTGTCTGCCTCTCTGTAACTCTGCCTTTCAAATAGTAAATGAATGGATCTTTAAAAAAAGAAAGTGCTCACATCCCACATCAGAGGGCCTGGAGTTGGTTCTTGACTCCGACTCCTGACTCCAGCTTCCTGCTAATGCAGACTCTGGAGTGCCTGGGTCTCCGCCACCCAAATGAGAGACTCACACTGAATTCTGGCTTGCAGCTTTGTCCTCAGCCTATCCCCAGCTATTGTGGGCATTTGGAGAGAGTGAAATAGTGGATGGAAGTGCTCTATCTAAAAAAAAAAAAAAAAAAGATTGTCATTCGCCATTGACCATTGACCATTATTTTGCCCTTGCAGAGGTGTCCCAAAGTGGACCAGGGGGCTGGGCCTTCACTTGTCCCTTAGGGTTCATCACTACCTGCAGCCAGCCTGGGAAGGCAGGGTAAGGGCACCTGCTTCTCTACCCTGGGAAGGCTGGGGGCACGAAACCAGGAGCCACATCTTACCCAAAGGATGACGTCCCTCGGGGGCTTTCTGGAACTGGGGTCTCCTGTTCCGCTCCCAACTGACTTTCAGGATTGGAGCAGGCTCCTATAGCCCATACTACTCACAGGGCCGGCTCCCCCAGTGGAGGAGCGAGCGTTGCCTGGGGTTAGAGGGAAGACCAGGCAAAAGTGGAAGAAAACCCTACTTCCTCTCATATTTCTCTGCAGATAACGAGAAGTTTTTCACCACTGGACAAAGGGAGCTGTACCTGGAGGCCTGCAAGCTGTTGAACGTTGTGCCTGTCTCCTACTTCATCCGGAACATGGAAGAGCCCTACATGAATCTCAACCACCATGGGCTCGGCCCCAAGGGCACCAAGGCGATTGCCATAGCCCTGGTGGTGAGCATCCCCACGGGGCACACGGAGGCTGGTGGAGGCGGAGGGTTGACAGGGTGGCAGCCCCTAGACCCAACGAGCCCCTGGTAGGTAGCCCGCCTGCAGCTTTTATGCCATCTGGGCTATCCCCGGCTTCCCATTGATTTCCCCAAAAGCATGGACTTCGCTTCAGCTCCTGGAAGGAGCGGCTAGAGGCCAGGGCCTTACACGTCTGCGTCCTTTCCTGTTTAAGAAGCAAAGGCACCTGCGCTGGGGGCCTGGGGAATGCGGCTGGGCTGGGCTCGGGCTGGGCCCCAGTTCATATAAGAGCACAGTATGAAACGCCAGCCTGTTCTCTCCATCCCCGAACACACCTTCACCGGGGAAGACTCCTAACAGTTCCTGGAAATAGACTTGAATGTGTTTCCATCAGAACAAAACCTGTGGCAATCCATGCCTGCTTTTTTTTACTTGTATGCATTTTCCATGAATTTTTTGAAGACCCTTGTATGCAAGGGTTTTTAATTTTTTTGCACCAAAATAAGCTCATCTTTTAAGTCCATTTTCCCAGGAGCTTTTTGAAGTGCCCTGGTATAAACAGATTCATGGCCGAAGCATTCCATTCCGCGCCTGCCTTCCGCAATAGGGCACTTCAGAGCCGAGATGCTATCCCTTGACTTAGCACTATGGAGCAAAGACATGACATCGAATTCATCGTAGCTTTATGTATTGTAACTGATTGCACACCAGCCTGACTCGCGTCACAGAGTAGAACCTGCAACAGCTGTTCATCAGCACAGCCCGGTGTGTCCCCTTAGGGAGGTAAAGAGGAAGCTGCATTTTCAAGGAGCTCAGGAAGGGTAGGACATAGATGGTTCCTTCGTGGTGATTCTGTGCATTTGGCACAGTGGTCGATGCTGATCTTGCATCCGTACCAGAGTCCCTGGGTCAAGTCCCACCTCTGCTTCCAATTCCAGCTTCCTGCTAATGTGTGCCCTAGGAGGCAGCAGATGATGGCCTAGGTGCTTGTGTTCCTACCACCTGAGTGGAAGACCCTAGTGGACTTCCTGGCTCCTGCTTTAGCCTGGCCCAGCGCTGGCTGTTGTAGGCATTTGGGAAGTGAACCAGCAAATGGAAGATCAATCTCCCTCTGTCTCTCTCTGTCTCTCTCTCTCTTTCTTTCTTTGTCTATCAATCTCTTATGCCTCTGCCTATCCATCTATTTGCCTTTTAAATAAAATAAATCCCTCTTAATTTTATGGAAAAATTGAATTGAAAAAAAGTTTATTTTGGTGCAAAAAATTAAAAATCCATGATAACCTTTTCATAATACATATTTTCTATAAACTTTTTAAAGACTTGTCATACACTGTCAAAAATGTTGGAGTACAAAATTATCCTCTCCCCTCAGGCTATATCTCTCTCGTGTTTTTAAAGATTTATTTTACTTATTTGAAAAGCAGAGTTACAGAGAGATGGTGAGATAGAGAGAGAGGTCTTCCATCCCCTCGTTTACTGTCCAAATGGCTGCAATGGCCAGAGCTGGGCCAGACCAAAGCCAGGAGCCAGGAGCTTCTTAGAGATCTCCCACATGGGTATAGGATCCCAAGCACTGGGCCATCCTCTGATGCTTTCCCAGGCCATAGCAGGGATCTGGATCTGAAGTGGAGCAGGGGCCGGCACTGTGATATAGTAGGCTAAGCTTCTGCCTGTGGCTCTGGCAGCCCGTAGGGGCTTTGGTTCATGTTCCAGCTGCTCCTCTTCTGATCCAGCTCTTCCCTATACCCTGGGAAAACAGTAGAAGATGGCCTGCATGCTTGGACTCCTTCACCCACGTGGGGAACCATGAAAAAAGCTCCTGGCTCCTGGCTTCGGATTGGCTCAGCTCTGGCTTGCGTGACCATTTGAGGAGTGAATCAGAGAATGGAAGACGTTTCTCTCTGTCTCTCCCTCTCTCTCTGTAACTCTCTCAAATAAATAAATAGCATCTTAAAAAAAAAAAAGGAAAGAAAAAAAGGAAGTGGCACAGGCACAACTTGAACCAGCGCCTATATGGGATGTCGGCACCACGTGCTGTGGCTTTAACACACTGTACCACAGCGCAGGCCCAGGCTACGTCTCTTGAGTCCTCCTTGTGCCTCTTACCTTTCAATGTTTTGACGGCCTTGTTCTAAATTCCCCCAGAATAAGCACAAGGTGGGAGCCAGGCTCAGGGACAAGCTCATCCACTGTGCCACTGTCGCCACACCTTCAGAACGGCCAGCCTGCATCTGCATGCGTTTCCTGTTACAACACTGAAATCCCTGAGGCTGGGCAGTGTACAGTCAGCATTAGCTGGGCTCTGAGGAAGACTTCCCGATGGAGGGCATCGTAACGGGAGCACATGGGAGAGGGAGCCATCACAGATGAGCCAGGAAGCCAGAGAGACACGGGGGCGGGGCCAGGAATGACCGTCCACTCGCCACCCCCTCCACCACCACCAAGAAGTCCCACCGCCGCTTAACCTCCCTGGAAACCAAGCTGCCAACACATGTGGCGGGGACAGGGTGGGGGTGAGGGTGGTTTACAAACTACACCCAAGCCACAGCACCCTCTCACCTGGCTGGGGTGTGCAAGAGGGTGGACACGTTCTGGGCGCAGGTGGGCAGGCGCTGACTCCTGTCTCTCCCCCTCCCGGTGCGGTGGCTGAAGTCCAATACGACCATCATCAAGCTGGAGCTGGAGGACAACTGCATCATGGAGGAGGGCGTGCTGAGCCTGGTGGAGATGTTGCAGGAGAACTACTACCTGCAGGAGCTGGTACTGCGCCCGGCCCCGCCCCCGCAGCACCCGGTCAGCACGAACCAGCGGCCCGGCTGCGTGCAATGGTCCGAGGGCCCCTGCCCTCCCGGTGTGACCTCTCAGAGGAGAGCCACGCCTCCCAGGCTGCCCGGGGACTGTGGGAAACCCTCAGAAACTGTTTCTGTCTGGGCCCTAGGAGCCCTCCCTGGATAAATTTACCTCTCCATAGAGGACTTAGAGGGGACCTTCTTCAAGAACATGAAGACATGAGCTAATATAAAATACAGTGTGCCTGGAGGTAGACAGTGGTGATGGTTACAAGCAACAGAAAAATACTTTTTAAAAAAGATTTATCGATTTATTTGAAAGAGAATTACAGAGCGAGAGAAGGAGAGAGAGAGAGAGGTCTTCCATCTGCTGGTTCACTCCCCAAATGGCTGCAATGGCCGGCTCTGCACCGATCCAAAGCCAGCAGCCAGGAGCTTCTTCCAGGTCTCCCGTGTGGGTACAGTGGCCCAGGAACTTGAGCCACCTTCTGCTGCTTTCCCAGGCACATTAGAAGGGAGCTGGATCAGAAGTAGAGCAGCTGGGACTCCAACCAGCACACATATGGGATGCTGGCACTGCAGGCCATGACTTAACCCACTATGCCTCAGGGCCAGCCTCAGAAAGATACTTCATACTATGGAACTGTAAACTTAAAAATAGTTGAGTGGGGCCGGCACTGTGGCATGGTGGGTAAAGCCACCACCTGCGGTGCCAGCATCCCATTTGGGCTCCTGCTTGATTCCTGCTGCTCCACTTCCAATCCAGATCCCTGCTATGGCTCAAGCCCTTGGGCTCCTGCACCCAAGTGGGAGACCCAGAAGAAGCTCCTGGCTCCTGGCTTCAGATTGGTGCAGCTCTGGCCATTGTGGCCATCTGGATAGTGAACCAGTGGATGGAAGACCTCTCTCTCTCTCTCTCTCTGCCTCTTGCCTCTCTGTAACTCTGCCTTTCAGATAAAATAAATAAATCTTTTTTAAAAAAGTTTGAGATGCTAAATTTTATGTCATATATATTTGACTAACATAAAATATTTTAAAGGGAGGAAAAAAAGCCAAGGAAAATGATGGCTATTTTATATAAAACCTCTCCCACTAGGATGATGTCCGTGTGTAGCCCTAATTTTTTTTTGTTTATTTTATTTTAGATTTTTATTTGTATGTTTGAAAGGCAGAGAGAGAGAGATCCACCCCCATCGCCCCCATCTCTTTTATTAACAAGGGCCCTGGGGGAGCCTTTGAGACACAGTGCACTCTTGCCTTTCAGAACATTTCCGACAATGATCTTGGTTTGGAGGGGGCCAAGATCATCTCAGAGTTCCTCCAGAGAAACGCCTCCTCGCTCTGGAAACTGAAGCTCTCAGGTGAGCCCTGGGAGGGGCGGGCGGGGACACTGGGAAGCAAAGGGAAGATAAGAGGGGCAGGCGCAGCGGCAGGACCCTCCCTGGGAAGCCCACGGTGCTAGCACGGTGCCAGGTTCAAGTCCTGGCTGCCCTGCTTCCAGTCCAGCTCCCTGCTAATGTCCATCCCAGGAAGGGTAGCAGAGGATGATGGCCCACGTAGCTGGACCCCTGCTACCCACATGGGGGATGCCGATGGAGACAGCCCAGGCTTTTGTGGACATTTGGGGAACAAACTAACGAGTGGAAAAATGTCTGTCTCTGTGTGTCTCCATCTGTCTGTGGCTCTCTGCCTTGCACATAAAACAGAAAGAAATACATAAAATAAAAAAATATTGTTTAAAGGGTAGGAAGAGGGAGAGAGTGGCTGGGACGTAGGGTCTGGTTGTTCCCGGCAGCACCCTCTGCTCTCAGCAGCCTGCCTGTGGCTTTGCCTGCTAAGCCCTCCCCGTCTTCCTTCTCCCGCTCCATGGCCACGCTGGCTTCCTGCTTCCTAAAGCAGTCACCACTGGTGGGCTTGGCAACTCTCCTGCCTGAGCTTGCAAGTCCCCGCCTCAGCGTCCGCGTGGCTTCTGTGCCGGCCTCTCCAGCTTCGCTCACACCTCTGCTCTGGGGTCGTCCCCCGAAGGGTTTCCCCGAAGCTAGCAGCGCTGCTTCTCCATGATTCTGTTCCCTGCCTGGTTTTACTCACCAGCCAGGAGCTCCGTATGGGTCTCTCACGTGGGTGCAAGGGCCCAAGTACAAGCCTTCCTCTGTTGCTTTCCCAAGAACATTAGCAGGGAGCTGGATCGGAAATGGAGCAGCTGGTATTCAAACTGGCGCTTGAATGGTATGTTGGCATCACAGGTGGTAGCTCAACTCGCCACGCCACAGCGCCGGCCCCCTGTATGCTATTTTTAAAGTAGCTTATTACCTGTCTCCCACAGGGGACAAACAAAGCCATGTGGGAATTCAAGAAGCCACAGACTTGCCGTCACTGAAGTCTGTGGCTTGGATTTATGCTGTCTAGAGTGGCCTAGAACCCCAACACCGAGCAATTAAACATAAGGAGTGACCCCATACTGATAAGAGTAAGGCCCCTTGGGAGGAACACCACCTCCTGCAGACTGCTTGGGATTCCCACAGAGAAAGCCCCACTCAAGGTGGGCTCACAGGCCACCTGGCAACAAGACCGTGGGAGTTGTCGAAGGCAACAAGTGGTAGGATTGGACTCTCAAGAACTTCCGGAAACTGAAGTGTCAGGGGTTGACTTTTGGCAGAGCAGTTAAGACATTGCTTAGATGCCCTCGGGCCATATCTGAGTGCCTGGCTTCAAGTTTCTGCTTCCACTTCCCGCTTCCTGCTAAGGTGCACTCCGGGAGGCGGCGTGATGGCTCAAGGACTTGGTTCCCTGCTACCACGGTGGGAGACCTGGGCTGAGTTCTGGACTCCTGGCTTCAGCCTGGTCCAGCCACGGCTGTTGTGGGCATTTCGGGAGTGAGCCAGCAGATGAAAGATTCTCTCTCTCAAGTAAAAATGCAAATAAATTTAATCGTACATGAAATAAATAATCAGATATAAACTATAAGGGGGCCCCATACAATTTACCACCAAAACCAGGGGCAATGTACCAAGTATAATCATGTTTAACATGGTTAAGAATGTAAAAATAGCTGTGAGTGGAAACATAAAAGAGCATTCCTCTCCTCACCAAGGAATTTCTAAAAATGAAAACTATAGAGCCACTGAAATCAAAGAATAAATCCAACAGCACATTTGATATAGGTGAACAGAATTAATAGAAAACATATTTTTCTATCTATCCAGCATAGAAAGATTTAAAAAATAGAGACTATAAAAGAGAACATACGAGAATGAGTACACTCAATATAGCTGATAGGACTTCCGGAAGGAGTAGAGATTGGGTGGGCAGTGGTATTTAGACAAATAACAGAGGACGTCTTTCCCAGATTGACGAATTCTGAGATACGGACATTCTAGTAAGTCCCAAGTAAGATGAAAAGAAACCCACACTTGAATACGTCACTGAAAAAAGTTCGTAAGATCTTTAAAGTATCGGGGGGGGGGGAGGCAATAAAATTTGTGTGTTTTTAATATAAATGCTGTCACATGTCAGATATTAGTCTCCAACTTTGCTCATGTTCCTCTAAAGATGTCTTGGGTTTCCTTCTGTGCTGGGACAAGCACATGTACCTCATTCTGCTACACTGCCAGGGACGCCCATGTCATGAAATTAATATCTTAATGTCAGACAAAATAATATCTTAATATCAGACAAAATAAACTTTAACACAAAAACTGTTAAGAGAGACAAAGAGGGGCACTATGTAATGATTAAGGGATCAATTCAACAGGAAGATGTAACTATTATAAATGTATATGCACTTAATTACAGGGCACCGGGCTATTTAAAAGATATGCTAGGGAACTTTAAGGGAGACTTAGACTCCAACACAATAGTATTGGAGGACTTCAATACTCCACTTTCAGCAATGGATCAACCAGACAGAAAATCAACAAGGAAACAGCATATTTAATCAATACTACAGACCAAATGGATCTAACAGATATCTACAGCACTTTTCATCCTACACTTGAAGAATACACATTCTCTCAGCAGTACATGGAACTTACTCTAGGATTGACCACATACTAGGTCATAAAGCAAGTCTCAGCAAATTCAAAAGAATCAAAATCATACTATGCATCTTCTCAGACCACAATGGAATTAAGCTGGAAATTAGCAACTCAGGAATCCCGAGAGCATATGCAAACACATGGAGACTAAACAACATGCTCCTGAATAAACAGTGAGTGATAGAAGAAATCAAAAGAGAAATCAAAAACTTTCTGGAAGCAAATGAAGATAACAACACAACACATCAAAACTTATGGGATACAGCAAAAGCAGTGTTAAGAGGAAAGTTTATAACAATAGGTGCCTACATCAAGAAATTGGAAAGTTACCAAATAAATGAGCTTTCAATGCATCTTAAGGATCTAGAAAAACTGCAGCAAACCAAACCCAAAACTTGTAGGAGAAGAGAAATAATTAAAATTAGAGAAGAAATCAACAAAATTGAATCAAAAATATTACAAAAGATCAGCAAAACAAAGAGCTGGTTTTTTGAAAAAATAAAATTGACATACCATTGGCCCAACTAACTAAAAAAAGGAGAGAGAAGACCCAAATCAATAAAATCAGAGATGAAAAAGGGAATGTAACAACAGACACCACAGAAATAAAGAGTCATCAGAAATTACTACAACTACAACTACAAAGAGTTGTTTGCCAGCAAACAGGGAAATCTATCAGAAATGGAGAGATTCTTGAACACATACAACTTACCTAAATTGAACCACAAAGACATAGAAAATCTAAACAGACCCATAACTGAGTCAGAAATTGAATCAGTAATAAAGCCCCCCCCCCAACAAAGAAAAGCCCAGGGATTCACTGCTGAATTCTACCAGACATTTAAAGAAGAACTAACTCCAATTCTTCTCAAACTATTCGAAACTATTGAAAGAGAGGGAATCCTCCCAAATTCTTTCTATGAAACCATCCTCACCTTAATTCCTAAACCTGAAAAAGATGCAGCAGAGAAAGAGAATTACAGACCAATTTCGCTGATGAACATAGACGCAAAAATCCTCAGTAAAATTCTGGCCAATAGAATTCAACAACACATCAGAAAGATCATCCACCCAGACCAGGTAGGATTTATCCCTGGTATGCAGGGATGGTTCAACGTTCACAAATCAATCAATGTGATACGCCACATAAGCAAACTGTAGAAGAAAAACCATATGATTATCTCAATAGATGCAGAGAAGGCATTTGATAAAATACAACACCTTTTCATGATGAAAACTCTAAGCAAATTGGGTATAGAAGGAACATTCCTCAATACAATCAAAGCAATTTATGAAAAACCCACAGCCAGTATCCTATTGAATGGGGCAAAGTTGGAAGCATTTCCACTGAGATCTGGTACCAGACAGGGATACCCATTCTCACCATTGCTATTCAATATAGTACTGGAAGTTTTAGCCAGAGCCATTAGGCAAGAAAAAGAAATTAAAAGGATATAAATTGGGAAGGAATAAGTCAAATTATCCCTCTTTGCAGATGATATGATTCTTTATTTAAGGGACTCAAGGAACTCTACTAAGAGACTATTGGAACTCATAGAAGAGTTTGGCAAAGTAGCAGGATATAAAATCAATGCACAAAAATCAACAGCCTTTGCATACGCAGACAATGCCATGGCTGGGAAAGAACTTCTAAGTCAATCCCATTCGCAATAGCTACAAAAACAATCAAATACCTTGGAATAAACTTAACCAAGGATGTCAAAGATCTCTATGATGAGAACTACAAAACCTTAAAGAAATAAATAGAAGAGGATACCAAAAAAATGGAAAAATCTTCCATGCTCATGGATTGGAAGAGTCAATATCATTAAAATGCCCATTCTCCCAAAAGCAATTTATAGATTCAATGTGAAACCAATCAAAATACCAAAGACATTCTTCTCAGATTTGGAAAAAATGATGCTGAAATTCATATGGAGACACAGGAGACCTCGAATAGCTAAAGCAATCTTGTACAACAAAAACAAAGCCGGAAGCATCACAATACCAGATTTCAGGACATACTACAGGGTAGTTATAATCAAAACAGCATGGTACTGGTACAGAAACAGATGGATAGACCAGTGGAACAGAATAGAAACACCAGAAATCAATCCAAACATCTACAGCCAACTTATATTTGATCAAGGATCTAAAACCAATTCCTGGAGCAAGGAGTATCTGTTCAACAAATGTGCTAGGAAAACTGGATTTCCACGTGCAGAAGCATGAAGCAAGACCCCTACATTACACCTTTAATCCACTCAACATGGATTAAAGATCTAAACCTATGACCTGACACCATCAAATTATTAGAGGACATCAGAGAAACCCTGTAAGATATAGGCACAGACAAAGATTTCTTGGAAAAGACCCCAAAGGCATAGGCAGTCAAAGCCAAAATTAACAATTGGGATTACATCAAATTGAGAAGTTTCTGTACTGCAAAAGAAACAGGAAAGTGAAGAGGCAACTGACAGAACAGGAAAAAATATTTGCAAATTATGCAACAGATAAAGGGTTGATAACCAGAATCTACAAAGAGATCAAGAAACTCCACAACAACAAAACGAACAACCTGCTTAACAGATGGGCCAAGGACCTAAACAGACATTTTTCAAAAGAGGAAATCCAAACAGCCAACAGACACATGAAAAAATGTTCAGGATCACTAGCCATCAGGGAAATGTAAATCAAAACCACAATTAGGTTTCACCTCACCCTGGTTAGAATGGCTAACATCCAGTAATCAACTAACAACAGATGCTGGTGAGGATGTGGGGGGAAAGGGACACTAACCCACTGTTGGTGGGAATGCAAACTGGTAAAGCCACTTTGGAAGTCAGTTTGGAGATTGCTCAGAAACCTGAATATAGCCCTACCACATGACCCAGCCATTCCACTCCTTGGAATTTATCCAAAAGAAATTAAATTGGTAAATAAAAGAGCTGTCTGCACCTTAATGTTTATTGCAGCTCAATTCACAATAGCGAAGACATGGAATCAACCCAAATGCCTATCAACAGTAGACTGGATAAAGAAATTATGGGATGTGTATGCTATAGAGTACTATACAGCAGTAAAAATAAATAAATCCGGTCATTTGCAACAAAATGGAGGAATCTGGAAAACATCATGCTGAGTGAAATAAGCCAATCCCAAAGGGACAAATATCACATGTTCTCCCTGATCTGTGACAACTGACTGAGCACCTAAAAGGAAACCTGTTGAAGTGAAATAGATACTATGAGAAACAGTGACTTGATCAGCCCTTGTCCTGACTGTCGAGGAACAACTTACTATTTTATTCCTTTTAGTATTTTTTTGGTTCTACTTAATACCATTGGTTGAACTCTTTAATTAACACACAACTATTCTTAGGTGTTTAATTGAAAAGTGAGCCCTGTTAAATCTAAGAGTGGGAATAAGAGAGGGAGATGTACAGTTCGGCACATGCTCACTCAGACTTATCCCTCATGGTAGAGCTAGAAACGTGCCAGGGGATTCCAAATCAATCCCATCATGGTGGCATGTACCAATGCTATCTCACTAGTCCAAGTGATCAGTTTCAGTTCATAATTGATCATAATGATAGGATTAAGTGTCAAAGGGATCACATAAACAAGACTAGTGTCTGCTAATAATAACTGATAGAATTAAAAAGGAGAGAACTATCCAACATGGGAAGTGGGATACACAGCAAACTCATAGAATGGCAGATGTCCTAAACAGCACTCTGGCCTCAGAATTAGCCCTTAAGGCATTCGGATCCAGCTAAAAATTAGCCCATGACAGTTTCTCAGGCATGGAAAGCCAAGACACTGTGGAAAAAAAAAAAAAAAAAAAAAACACACCTAAATGAAAGATGTCTGTGAGTGAGTGTCTGTCTCTCTGCCTTTCTCTGAAGGAAGGAGAGAACTTCCACTTTGATTATGGCCTTGTCTTAGTAAGGTTGGAGTTTGTGAATTCAAGAGTTATATATTTAAATATATATCTATATATTTACTACTGTCAGGACCATCAGGGTTTTTTTTTTCTTTATGGATTGAATTTTTTTAAAAAAAGATTTACTCATTTATTTGAAAGGCAAAGTTACAAAGAGGCAAAGCAGAGGCAGAGGAAGAGAGAGAGGTTTTCCATCTGCTGGTTCACTCCCCAAATGGTTGCAATGGCCAGAGCTGCACCAATTCGAAGCCAGGAGCCAGGAGCTTCTTCCAGGTCTTCCACGCAGGGGTCCAAGGACTTGGACCATCCTCCATTGCTTTCCCAGGCCATAGCAGAGAGCTAGATCAGAAGTGGAGTAGCCGGGACTCAAACTGGCACCCATATGGGATGCCAGCACTGCAGCCAGCAGCTTTACCCACTACACCACAGCATCAGTCTCCAGAATGCTTTTTCCTAATTGGTTATTATTGGTATGTCCGAAAGCTATTGAATTTGCACATTCATGCTGTATCCAGTCACTTTATTGAATTATTTTGTTAGTTCCGATGTTTTGTTAATTTTCTTGGATTTTATTTAAAAAGGGGATTATATCTGCCAATACTGAGAGTTTCACCTCTTTTTTTCCAGTATGTGTAACTCCTACTGGTTTTCCTGGCTGAGTTGGTTGAAATCCATAGCATATTAAAGTAATGCAGAAAACGCTTTGTAAAATACAAATTTCTTACAACCAGCTGTGCACTATTTATAACCAAGGATGTAATTAACACAATAACTTTAATAGCTAACCACCTAATTTTATGTATTGACTAGCTTTTTATCTCATTGCAGATGAGGGAAGGGAGCAGACACAGATGAACAAATCTTTGTGTTTCAGGGAATTCATTCATTAATTCTGAAAGCATTTATTAAGCACCTGATATTAGCCAAACATGAGTTAGGTGCTGGAGACACAAAGATTAAGTATTCAAAGGAGGTCCAACAAATTGATAGGAATTATATAGCAATTGAATGATTTTGTGGTTATTTTAAAATTTGCATGAATAAAGTTGAACATCTCTTCATTTGATGATTGTTTATGTATGCACCTTGATGGTTTTCCTGCTGCGCTGCGATCCTTTTACTTTTTATTTGTTGAACTTTCCTTTAGTGGAGCCACTAAACCTTTGACTATAATATAAATTAAATACGTGTTATCTCAATAAAATAATAAAGTATGAAATTTTAAAAAAGATTCAAAGAAGAAATTTGAGAATAAAGCTCTGTATCATGTATTTTTTTAAGATTTACATTTTATTTTACTTGCAAGACAGAGGGACAAGGAGAGAGGGAAAGACAGAAAGAGAAAGAGGTCTTCCAACCACTGGTTCACTCCCCAAATGGCTGCAATGACCAGGGCTGGGTCAGGCGAAGCCAGAAGCCAGGCACTTCTTCCAGGTCTCCCATATGAGTGGCAGGGGACCAAGCAATTGAGTCATCTTCTGCTGCTTTCCCAGGTGCATTAGAGGAGCTGGAAATGGAGCAGCCAGGACTCAAACCGGTTCTCCAATATGGGACACCAACGTTGCAGGCCGTGGCTTACCCTGGTGCACCACAGCGCTGGCCCGTAGTGTACGTTCCCAGGAAGTCACGACGCTTTAACCTGCAGGCCGGGCCTGGAACCAGGGCAAGGTGAACGAGGTGCTTGTCTTGGTTGCAAAACACAAGGGTGCCTCAAAAGCTCAGTAATCAAGGAAACAGCATCTGACTCAGTAGTTTCAAAGTCAGAATTAGTGCAGAAACATCCATGATGGACAAACTATGAAACTTCAAATAAAAGTAGTATCCAACAGGGGTCGAATAGGTGCAGTGACTAAGGCCTAGCCATGCAAGTGGAGGGTTAGATCCTTTTTCTATTTAAAAATTTTAAACTCCATTCAACATAGATGTTTTTGCATTTTTTAAAAATAGTTAGGTACTATTTTTACTGAGTTTTTGGCATTCCTTAAATTTTGCACCCATGGCAAGTGCCTCACTTGCCTCCCTCTAGTCCCAACCCTGCTCCTTGAACTTCAATTAGCATTTTTAAATTTTATTTATTTTCATCTTATTTGAAAGGCATAGAGACAGACAAACATCGCCCATCCATTGGGTCACTCCCCAAATGCCTACAACAGCCAGGGCTGGGCCAAGCCAAAGCCAGGAGCCCAACCACATCCAAGTCTCCCATTTGGATGGCATGGGTCCAAGTACTTGAGCCATTACCTGCTGCCTCTAGGGTCTGCATTTGCAGGAAGCTGAGATGGGAAGTGGAACCACGACTCACAGCCAGGCACTCCAATATGGCAACTTCACTGCTGCACCCAAAGCTTACCCCTGCCTTAGCATTTCTTATAATGTTACCGACTTGGAGCACGAGGCCAGGGGCTGATGCTGCCAATGGAGACCCAGGGGGTGGCGTTCTGAGTGCTGAAACTTCTCAGACAGTCGTGGCAGAGAGGGAAGGGAGCGTTAAAGGAAGTGGTGAAGATGAGCCTTGTCTCCTGTTTTCTCATGCTCATGTAATACGCACAAAGTTCTCGCCGCCTTTCCTGTGTCTGAGTGTCCCAAAGCGAGGAGGACTGGCAGGGCTAGGACTCAGGGTGGGCGAGGGGAACGGTGATGTGGGGTGCACCTGCTAACTCACCATCCTCCCTCCAGGAAATAACTTCAAAGAGGAGTCCGCGGCACTGCTGAGCCAAGCCATGTCGGTAAGAAGCGAGGGGTGTGGGCTAGCCATGAGGGACAGCAGTACCTGGGTGGCCCAGGGGGCTGCCGTGAGGCCCCTGGAGCAGTGCAGGGAGCAGGCGAGTGTTCAGGCTCCACCAAGCCCCTGGCCAAAAGCTGCAGCAGGCCACAGGGCTGTTAGCATGGCGCTACATCCCCCATCACCAGTTACACAGAGAACAAATCAGCGCTCGTCTTCCATCTAAGAACCCTGGCCCACCTAGCTGTGAGTCCGTGGCATCCCTCCAAAATACTGCTCTGAGATGAACACCGTGTCTGCGGTCAGAAGCTAAAGTAACCTCTCTTTCCACTGTTTGTTTCTCTAGTCCAATTACCAAATCAAGAAGCTGAATCTCAGCCACAACCAATTCTCTGACCAGGGAGGGGAGCAGCTGGGACAGATGCTAGGTAGGTCCCCAGGCAGGGAAGGGCCAACCAGTGGGAAGGTGGGCGGGAGCGCCGCTCGCAGGGCTGTTTCTTTTGGCATTATCGTTATTGCGAGTAATGAATGTCTTTATTAGAGCAGAGATGTAAACCAGGCCCAAAATACACTTTATTAATTAATTAATTAATTTTTATTGGAAAGGCAGACAGACAGAAAGATCTTCCATCTGCTGGTTCACTGCCCACAACAGCCAGGGCTGGGCCAGGCCAAAGCCAGGAGCCTAGAACTCCATCTGGGTCTCACACATGGGTAGGGCCAAGCGTCCACTCCTAATTTTTTATATTAATCAAATGCTGTAAATATCTACTCCCTGTCTGCTGCTTGTCCTTTTAGGCTGTCCAGGCTTCTCTTATTATATCCATGTATCATGTGTATTGTTGTCAAATACACGAATTACGGCTGTTGCGTTTTAAGCCCGCCATGCCTCGGGCCATCCTCCTTAGCCTACCTAGGTCAGCCAGTCATTTTTTTTCCTATGGGATTATTGCAAAGTGTAACTTCCTGCACCTGGGTGTCTGCTTCATTTAAAATGCATTTTGGGGGGCAGGTATATATGATGGCTCAGGTACTTGGGTCTCTCTCTCTCTCTCTCTCTCTCTCCCCGCCTCTCTCTCTTTCAAATAAAACAAATGAATAATTGGTTTTTAAACATTAGTGTTCAGAACATTGATAAAAGATGCTATAGATCAATAAAACAATACTACATACCCCACCAATAGAGCAATGGTAAGCCATATGGACAACAGGAGAAAAAAGCCGCATGCCCAACCTCTTTAGGAATGACAGAAATGCGACATAAACCAGGAAGATCACCCTTGTCTGCCAAGGCTGCCAGTGTGCAAAGTCAGTGAATACGACTGCAGGCAATGGAGAGAAGTGGACTCCCCGCCCCCGCCCACGGCTGGGTCTAGGCACTGTGGGGAACAATGGACGGCGCCTGCCATGAGTCAGCCGTGTGCAGATCCTCTCTTCCGTCTCAGAGCAGCTCTCTCCTACAGAGATGTCTGGGGACCTTGTATAGTGCAGCATCGTTAGAAGAGAGGGGGGAAATGGCAGCACCTTTAGTGATTGTCCCTGGGCCAAGGAATTGTCCCTAGTCAAAGGAGGTGGGGCTGGGGCTGTGTGTGTAGAGGGGAGGTGACACAAAGCCTCAAGGGAGCAGAGAGTCCCTCGGCTCGAGCAGACAAGCCACAGGAGGAGAGGGAAGAAGGGGTCCCCTGTGAGTTGGCCCGCAGGCTCTGGGGACCATGGCTTGCAGGAGGTCGGGTTTTACTTCACTTGCGATGGAGTCACTGGGGGCGGGGGTTGTTCAGCGGAGCAGGGACACGGCTCGAGTTGTGGATTTGGAACCACTGTGTCTACTGATGAGGGTCTTGGCTCAGGGAGGGGGCGATGACAAACAGAAGTGGGCAGATTCAGAATATATTGGGGGTGAGGCCAGGAGGACTGGGTGTGATGCATGAGGTAAAGGGAGAAAGAGAGCTAGACCCTGGGTCACTGTGCTTCAGCCACTGGCCAGACAATGGTGTCACTCGCTTAAATGGAGAAACCCCAGGGAATGCACGCTACAGAGAGGCAGGAGTGGGGCGTCTGGCACCCTCCTGGCCATGTTGTGTCTGTGATGGCCGCTGGACACCCACACCTCCGTGGAGGTGTCAGGCAATTGGTTCGCTGCGTGAGTTTATAACATGGTGAAGAGGTCAGGATGGGAGATTGGCACTGGGAGTCACAGACACAGACGTATTGAAAACCAAGAGACAGTATGAAGACATCGAGGCCAGTCATCTAGACCGAGCGGAGTGGGTGGCCATCAAACTGACCCCCGAGGAATGCCATATGAGCACAAACATCCCTGCACATACGATTCCTGTGCAAACCCAGCTTCTGCACCGGCCTGGGGCCTCCCTACTTACAGCTGCGTGAGTGCCCAAGGCGCTCCAGAAGCGCAGTTCCGGAGTGGCCCACGGCTGCCCGTGACAATGACATCACCATGGCCCTAATACACCAGGGCCACCACTGCTCCCTGTGTCAGCCCCGCCCTGACGGGGTTTCCCACACTGTCTCTACCTTCTTCTTTCAAAAAACTTTTCATTTGTTTGTTTTTATTCAGCTGAAAAGTAGAGTGACAGCGACAGACAGAAAGAGAGCTTCCATCCACGGACTCACTCCCCAGGTGCCCACAGCAGTCAGGGCTGGGCCCAGAGAAAGCCATGAGCTTGGGATTCCATCTGGGTCGCCCACGTGGGTGGAAGAAACACGGAGCCATGACTTGCTGCCTCGCAAGATGTGCAGCAGCAGACAGCTGGAATCAGAGTGGAGTCAGGGCTTGAATCCACGCACCCGTTAGGGGACACAGGCTTCCCACATGGCATTTTAATGGCTGCTGCAAGCGCCTGGCCTGGTCCCTGTCTACTTTAATGGCTGTGGCCTCTTCCAGCAGAGGGACAGTTAGTACGTGCTCTCCGCTTCCCGCTTGAGTCAGGGGTCTGAGCTCTCCATGATGGTGCCACGTAAACATACACAAACACAGGGCTCTCCCACGTCCTGTGCTGTCTCCCTAGAGTCTCAGGCAGGAGGGAGGGTCTACACAGCGCTGTGATCCCATACTATTCTCCAAGTAGATTACAGCAGTTCACTCCCCCTGCGATATAGGCGTGTGATCATTCTATGACACCTGTGCCTGCATTGGGAATCAATTTGTGATATTGTGTTTAAAAGAGTAACTCAAACACTTCTGCCCTGGTTTTGCGTGGCCATGGAGCAACCTTATTCTCCATGGTGAGGTTCCTGCGCGCCTGCTGGCTCTGAGCCAGGGTCGCTGGGGAGGTGGGGAGTGCAAAGCTGACGCCCTTCCTTTCCCAGCCCTCAACGTAGGGCTAAAGTCGCTGGATCTCAGCTGGAATCACTTCCATATTCGGGGAGCTGTGGCCCTGTGCAACGGTCTCCGGGTAAGGCACTCCCTGGGAGCAGTGCATTGAGCCTGGGGTGAGGACGGCCAGGGCCTCGGGGCTGCCATCTGGAACCCTTCCGGGGAGGAGAGCACCCCGTTCATACTCTGTAGCATAAAACCCAGCTGCGGAGGCCTGGGTGGCATTTCTGGGGACACTTCAAGAGGGCAGTTTACTGAGGGGGTAGGGAAGGACCAGGGCCCAAGGGGCGTGACTGTCTGGAGCTCTCGAGACTCTGAGCCCAGCTGGGAGGGGACTGGCAGAACTGGCTCTCCCAGGGCCCGGATCTGGACACCAGCAGGGCTTAGACATCAGGCGCAGCCCTGACCCTGGTGCTGTTCTCTCCTCTCCCCGGAGGCGAACGTGACCCTGAAGACACTGGATCTCTCCATGAACGGCTTTGGGAACGAAGGGGCCCTGGCCCTGGGCGAGGTCCTGAGACTCAGCAACTGCTTGGTCTTCCTGGACGTCAGCGGCAATGACATCAACAATGACGGGGCGTCCAAGCTCAGCCGAGGCCTGGAGTACAACGAGAGTCTCCGCGTTCTGAAGGTTGTCTTTCCCAGTGTGTGTGTGTGTGTGTGAGTGTGTGTGTGTGCATGACTGTATATGTGTATATGTGTGTATGCAAGTGCATGTGTATGTGTGTGCGTGTGCATGTGTGTCCATATGTGGTCCCTGTGTGTGTTCACGAGTGTATATATGTATATGTGTGCATATGCACGTGCATATGTGTATGCATGAATGTGTATGTATGTGTATGTGTGTCGATGTGTGTCCCCTGTGTGTGTGTTTATATGCATCTGCGAGAGTGTGTGCATGTGTGTGTGTCCATGTGTCGCCCGCGTGTTGGGGTGTGCCGGGTGGGGGGCACAGCAGGGTGGTGGGGCTGGATATTGCTGCAGAGAATTGTTGGGAACACCTGTCTTGGACTTCTGCACACAGGGGTGCTTGCTTGCTTGCTGTCTCTGCCCTAGACCCAGTGCCACCCTCGGCTCTCCCCAGTGCCCCGCAGCTGTCTCCCAGCCGGACTTCCTTCCCTATCCCGGGCCACACTGCAGCCGGAGTCTGCTTAGAACACAAATCTGACTTCCGTCCCCTGCACCCTGCAGTCCACTCTGCAGCCTGGATCCCCAGCGGCTTCCCGTCGCTCACATCCACGGCTCTGCTTACCCCCTCTCCTGGGGTCTCCCCTGCGTCCACTACGGCCTCCTGGTCCTGTCTCCCTGCGTTTCCTCCTACCCCAGGCCTTGTGGTGCTTTCTCCTTACACCCCCGCCTCCTGCTTGCTCTGGTCACAGCCGGCCGCAGAGTGAGCGCCTGTGGCTAGTCCTCGGGGAGCCCTGCCAGGGTCTCTGTCTGGGTTTTCTGCTCCCCCTCCCTGCACAGCTCAGGTCAGTCACCCCCACTGCTTTAACCAAGGCTGGTTTGGTTTTCCCGCTGTTCCACCCAGCACAGTGCTGGGCACGTGGTAGATGCCCAGTGAAGACTGGATGAATGAACCTGTATTTTACTGTGAATTAATTCACATAGAATTAATTAATTAATTAAGCGATAGCATAGAAGCTGCTGGGCAGTGGCAACACAGACAAGAGAGGACTCCTGACACTTCCTTCAGGGGCTGCTACCCTGAACTGGTCCTTTTGCAAGTTGGCCTCGCTTCTCAACGCCACGCTGTTAGCTCCACTTGGCAGATGAGAACACTGAGGCCGTGGCACGCTCTCAAGCCACACGCCAGCAAGAGGCAGGGAGAAGCTCCCTGGAGATGCAGGGATGGCTGGGGGCAGGGAGCCACAGAGGTGGGAGCGCTGGGGGTAGGTGCAGGGGAGAGTCACACGGGATGCTAAGGAGACAAGGAGGAGCGAAGCTCCCTCCAGGGAGAAGGGGCCTGCAAACTGGACCAGACAGGTCAGCCGGGGACCAAGAGAGCTGCTCAGCCTGGCCTGGGTGCTGGAGTGGGACGGAGCCCAACTCAGAGAAGAGAGGCTGACCGGGCCGTGCCTGCTTCTGCCACAGTGGCTGTGGGAGCCAGGCATGGTGCTGAGAGCCTGAATTTCAAGACTAGGAAATGGTCCGAGAGGGTGAGGGCAGGGGCTGCTTCTTGCTAGTGGGGTAGAGGTGACTTAAGACATCTTTTCCTACCTCTTTCCTAACGTTTCCACGATGACCATGCGTGGTAAACATATTTTAACGTTTAAAACGTGTTTCAGAAGTAAAAGACAAAAGCTGAAGGCAGAACTCTTGAGTTCAATAGCAGGTAGAAACCACACCAACTCGGCCTTGGGGAGCGGGGGTCTCCACACCCAGCCTCCACCCGCTTCCCGGAATCTTGGAGAAACAAGGAATTCTCCCTGGGAAGCCGGCCGGCAAGGGTCCACACCCTCTCACCACAGCACGGCACAGCCCACGTGGCGCCCCGCCCACAGCACATCACGGCACGCGTGGCATCCCCCCCACAGGACGTCACAGCCCGCATGGTGTCCTGCCCACAGCACATCACAGCCTGCTTGGCGCCCCGCCCACAGCAGGTGCTCGGTGAATGTGCTGGCGGCCACAGGAAGCCACCGGCTCACTGGGAGACAGACGGACAGGGAGACAGGTCCTCCCAGAGACATCTGTGGGGAACACGGAGGTGTGCCTGACGGGAAGAGGTGGAAGCCAGGCTCCAGGCCAGCCCTTCCTGCGTCCAGCTCAGCACCCCCGTCTCATCCCTCTTTCCACAGCTTTCCCTGAACCCTATAACTATGGACGGGGCCACTTTACTTGTCATGTCCATTAAGAAGAACCCCAAATCGAGGCTGGAAGAGCTGGACATTTCCGTAAGTGACCAAACGGTAGTTGGCTGCCCGAGGGATGGAGCCAGTTCCCACGCCCACTCGGTTCGCCAGGGCCAACAGCCGATCCCTCCCACAAATGCACTGCTTTGGGTACAGCTCTGTCCCTCTCCAGGGGTCCTTCCGGCAGGGGGAGCCATTCAGTCAGTACCCAGGTCCTGTTCCCCGCTGGCCAGACACCCGAGGGCAGAGGCAGGGAGACAGCAAGGAAAGACAAGAGGAGCCCAAAATGTTTGCTCACCATCAGCATGGCTGACGCGTGGACCTGGATCCTGCAAGATTTTCATTTCTTAAAGACTTACTGAGTGGTTTATTTATTTGAAAGTGAGAGATAGAGGCCGGCACCACGGCTCACTAGGCTAATCCTCCACCTAGCGGTGCCGGCACACCAGGTTCTAGTCCCGGTCGGGGCGCCGGATTCTGTCCCGGTTGCCCCTCTTCCAGGCCAGCTCTCTGCTGTGGCCAGGGAGTGCAGTGGAGGATGGCCCAAGTGCTTGGGCCCTGCACCCCATGGGAGACCAGGAGAAGCACCTGGCTCCTGCCATCAGATCAGCGCGGTGCGCCAGCCACAGTGCGCCGGCCGCGGTGGCCATTGGAGGGTGAACCAACGGCAAAAGGAAGACCTTTCTCTCTGTCTCTCTCTCACTATCCACTCTGCCTGTCAAAAAAAAAAAAAAAGAAAAAGTGAGAGATAGAGAGAGAGAAAGAGAAAGAGAGAGAGAGACTAAGAGAGACCAAGAGAGAGACTGAGAGAGACCAAGACCTTCCATCCACTGGTTCGCCCACAACAGCTGGGACTGGGTCAGGCCAAAGCCAGGCACTGGGAACTCCATGCAAGTCTCCCAGGTGGGTGGCAGGGGTTCAACACTTGGGCCTCATTGCCGCCTTCCCAGGAGCATTAGCAGGGAGCTGGAGCAGAAACAGAGCAGCCGGGACTCCACCCAGCACTCTAGAATGGCACGCAGGTGGGCGTCCCCAGCTCAACCCACGGTGCCACAATGCCCACCCCCCAGAATCGCATTATCGGGAGGATCCGGGCCTCAGAACCTATACAGATGGGTGTTTTTGTTTCCTGACTTGGCCGGAGGAAATGACTGTGACCCCAGCCATGTCTTCCTGCCCGAGTCGTCACAGAGACGGCAGCTGGGGGTGAGCTTGACCACACTCCACAAAAACACCCGGTCAAAGTCGTATAGGAGGGGAGGGCATTGGGCTGCACCCTGCTCTCAGAGGGAGGGAGTTCGAGTCCCAGCTCAGGCTCTGGACTCCAGCTTCCTGCTGCTCTGTGACGTCCTGTGGGCGGGGCACCACGAGGCAGCACGAGATGATCCCAACATGCAAGACCAGCATGGAGTTCTTATCTTCAGCCTAGGTCTGCCTTAGCCATCACGGGCTCTTGGGGAGTGAACCAGTGGATAGGAGGTCTCTCTGCTTCTCAAGTAAATAGATCCTTTTTGAAACCATGCAGGAAACTTCTGAGTCAAAATCACAGGCCCTGAAATCCCAGCACTGTCCAGTCTAGGAGCCTTGCGCAGCCAACTGGACAAAGCAATGCTCCCCAGTGGCCTGGGAGTAAGCAGAGGGCCCTCTGGCAGGCAGGGCCAGGGCGCCATGGCAGGTCCCCTCTCTCTGCCCAGAACGTGCTGGTGACCGAGCAGTTCACAAAGATGTTGGACGGGGTGTACGCCGTTCACCCCCAGCTGGATGTGTTATACAAGGCGGTGCAAGGCCTGGAGGAGAAGAAAGCCCTCTTCCTGTGTAAAAACCCCATGAAACTGATCCAGGTGAGCTCCTGCCTGCGGCCTTCCCAGGGCCTCCAGGCAGCCCTGGGGAAAGTGTGCCTTGGGCTCCAAGTCAGCTACCTGGATCTCCCCTCCCCCAGAGCGCGGGAACCATCCTCCGCAGCCAGCAGTCTCGGCCGTGGGGCTGCAGACACCAGCACCCCCCACCATGGACACTGGGTTGCTCAGCCATGCTTCAGTGCACAGGACCCACTCTGGGGGCTGATGGGAGGGGGAGGGAAGGGAAACAAAAGGATCCAAAATCTTACAGGCACTTCAAAGGCATTCAGAATGCAGGTGCAGGGCCGATGCTGTGGTGTAGTGGGTGAGGCAGCTGCCTGCAGTGGCAGCATCCCATGTGGGCGCCGGTTCAAGTCCTGGCCGCTCCACTTCCGATCTGGCTCTCTGCTATGGCATGGGAAAGCAGTGGACGATGGCCCAAGACCTTGGGCCCCTGCACCCGCACAGGAGACCCGAAAGAGGCTTCTGGCTCCTGGCTTTGGATCAGCACAACTCCAGCCATTGCAGCCATCTGGGGAGTGAACCAGTGGATGGAAGACCTCTCTCTCTCTCTCTCTCTCTCTCTCTCTCTCTCTGCCTCAGCTTCTCTGTGACTTTCAAATAGATAAATAAATCTTAAAAAAAAAAACCAGGTGCAACAGAAAGATGCTAGATGATGACAAATAAATGAGATATACAAATAGATAATAGATTGATGATAGATATGATGGGTAGTTGATAGACACGATTTATAGATAGTGGATTGATAAGATAGTTGATAGACCTAAAGATGGATGAGTAAAGAGGTGATAGATATTAGATTGATAGAAATATAGATGATGGCCGGCGCTGCACCTCACTTGGCTAATCCTCCGCCTGCGGCGCCAGCACCCCAGGTTCTAGTCCCAGTCAGGGTGCCAGATTCTGTCCCAGTTGCTCCTCTTCCAGTCCAGCTCTCTGCTGTGGCCTGGGAAGGCAGTGGAGGATGGCCCAAGTGCTTGGGCTCTGCACCCGCATGGGAGACCAGGAGAAGCACCTGGCTCCCGGCTTCAGATTGGCGCAGTGTGCTGGCCGTAGTGACCATTTGGAGGGTGAACCAATGGAAGGAAGAATGTCTCTCTGTCTCTCTCTCTCTCTCTCTCTCTCACTGTCTAACTCTGCCTGTCAAAAAAAAATATAGATGAATGGATGGATGGATGATAGGTAGATACATAGAGAGATAGTAATAGGTGATACATAGATGAATAGATAGATAATAAATAGATGGATGACTGACAGATGATAGATGCTAGATAGATAGATGATAGCGATGACAAACATATAAAAGGATACATATCAAGATATTACTTCTAGAACTTCAGAGAGAGAAAGAGAAAGAGGGAGTGTCAGAGAGGACTTCCATCCACTGGTCTGTTTCCCAAAAGACTGCAACAGCCAGGGCTGGGCCAGCCTGAAGCCAGAAGGCAGGAGCCTCCTCCAGGTCTCCCACATGGCTGCAGGGGCGCAAGCATTTGGTCCACCCTCCGACGCCCTCCCAGGAGGATTAGTAGGGAGCTGGATCCAAGGCGGATCAGCCAGGTGCTGAACCGGTGCCCATATGGGATGCCAGCGTCGTCACAGGCGGCAGCTCTGCCCCCTGCACCACAATGCCAGCTCCTTGCGGGTTCTTTTTTGTTTTCTTTCTGCTCATCTAAAAATCACACGGCGAGTGGGAAGTACTTTTGAAATGAAATGATGAAATATTCTTTTTTACATGTTTGAACGGAGCACATCTCCACATAAGCATCTGTGAGAGACTGAGACACCTAAAAATTCTTAGCATCTGCCCAAGCCTGCGCGCCGCGCGGCTGTGGTTGGAGCTGCTGCTCACCGGCTCACAGCAGCCTGCCCGCCCACCGCGGGGCCCATCGAGCGTGGTCTTATCAGAGGTGGTTTTCCCCGGGCAGCCTCCCTTGGTGCCCTGACACCTGAGCAGCACCGACTCCCACTCCTCCATCTTTGGAGTGGGTGGGGCTTCTGCTCAGTGGGGGTGGGGCTTTGAGACCCTGAGCACACACCCAGGAGCCCTCGGGATGTGCAGCCTTGTCATACATCAACTGCACAGGGCTCATGGTCCCAAACAGCTGCTAACAGGAAAGACTGGGGTCCCCGGGTTCCACTGCGGGCCCTGTCCTGAGCGTCCCTAGGAGCCTGGGTCACCCTTTGGAGGAGGGAGCCACGATGCTTGTGGCAAGACCACGGGTCTGCTCCCGCTGTCTCCCGCTTCTAGAGCTACGCAGACAAGAACCACATCAGCATCTTGGACTTCTTCAAGAGCCTGAACCCCACCGGAGCAATGCAGATGACCGTCGGCGAGTTCCGGAAGACTCTGTTACAGGTGTGCCTGGGAGAGAGAGAGAGGGAGGGAGGGAAGGAGGGAGGGAGGAAGGGAGGAGGGGTAGGGGAGCCTCTGGGCAGATAACAGGGAGTGAGAGCAGAGAGCACCTCCGAAGGCCCCAGTCTTGCCCCCCTTGGGCCCACCATCCTGCCTGAAATCCCTCGTCCACCCCCAATATAATGGAGGGGCTGAGGCCCCCGCAAAGCTCACTTGAAGGGCTCCATTGCCAGGAGAGAGCTGGGCCCTGCAAGGAAGCCCAAGGAGAGGAGTTCTGGGGGCCCAGGCCGGGATGGACAAAGACCCAGGGCGCAGACCGGAAGCAGGAATGGCCCTCAGTGCTGCCAGGCAGAGTTCCTGGCCCTCGGGTCCTGACCTCTCCCCTCACCGCGCCCTGGAGAAGGGGGTCCCCAGGGGTCCAGGTAGTGACCTGTGGGCTGCAGGCTCCTTCCAGCCTGTGTGTGTGGTGGCTGCATTTCCTCCGAACTCTCAGTTCCGTCCACGGTCCCAAGGGGAGCAAAGCCTTGGGGGGCGGGCTGGAAGGGCTGGGCAGAGGTCTCCACTAACGCACTGTTGCATCCCCCCCCCCCCAGCAAAGCGAGGTGCCTGTGAACCACAGCCAGATCAGGGAGCTGGTCAGGAAGCTGCAGGAGAAGCCCGGCATGGTGAACCTCAGGTCAGCCCGGGCCACAGCCGCTGCCCACTCGCCCGGGCCGCCCGGCAGTGCACAGGCTACCGGGAGGGGACTCGAGGGGCCAATGCTTGGGCCCTGGAGGAGTAACGGAGGTGTGTGCTGGCTTCCACCAGAGCCCAGAAGCAGGTGTAAGCCCAGACGGGAGCTGGCGATGTTTCCATTGAATCTGGCAAGACAGACAGACACAGGCGAGACAGAGGGACAACTGAGTCCCAAGTCAGTGCGGTGTGCAGGGGACCACAACAGGAGCAGAGGCAGTGAGGCAGGTGCCACGTGGGATGCACTCTCCAGAGAGAGAGGAAAGGGCCCCAGTGAGGCAGCAGCAACAAAGGCCCCCGCTGAGCCCTCCCTGAGCCTGTGCGCCCAGGCAGGCGTAGCCCCCGGCGGCGCCACCACAGGCCCCTGGTGGCAGACGGTGAGCTTTGGAGATGCGCACAAAGAAGCCAGGCCCTAGAGGCCAGGAAGGCGCAGCTGCAGCCTGGACCCGGCCAGGTCACGCCGCCCTCCCTCCTACTCTGGTTCCTCACCTGAAATCACACCAAGCGCGAATCTACACGTGGCCTCCCCCCGACCCTCCCCACCCCACCCAGTCCCTGTCCCAGGGCCTCTGCCCCCCTCCCCACAGTCCTTGGTGCCTCCCCCAGACCTCCCTTGTGAACAACGTCAGGTGCACGTTCAGTGCCTTTTCCCATGGCATGGCCTTGAGGGCATGGGTGTGGGCCAGAGACGGTGGCTGCAAATGCGGTCCCAGTGCTCTGGTCCAGCTCCACCACCGGGCAGCCCTGGGCGAGGGGCACAGCCCCCCTGTGCCCTAGTGTCCCTGGCTGTGTTGCGGGGCTGACAGCAGCACCCACAGCGGGGGCTTCTGAGGACTACACGATGTCTGTACACACTGAGAACACGGCGTGGCACACGGCGGGGGGCTCATGGAACACGTGGTTTTATTACATGCTTTACAAACACACGCACACACAGACACACACACACAGTTTCTTATCATAAGTAGGAGCTCACTGTCCCATTCCTCCAAACGTGCTCCACTTAGCACAGCACCTCAGTGCCTAATACCCTCCACCTAGACCCAGCTCAGCCGTTTCGACTGCCACAGCAGCTTCAGACTTTAATCTCATTTTTAGGGGCACTTAGGCTACTTCTGATTTTATTTTTTAGTTTTTGGGTTTTTTACTGGACAGAGAGACTGTGATAGACAGCATCCCTGGGCCATTGCCTAAATGTCTTCAGTGGTCTCCAGCTGGGGCTGAAGGTGGGAACCAGGAACTCAATCCAGGTCTCCTGTGTAGGGGGCAGGGACCCAGACACTTGAGCCGTCACCACTGCCTCCCAGCGTCCATTAGCAGGAAGCTGGAGTCAGGAGCGGAGCCAGGAGCAGGTCGACACTTGCAGATGGGCCATGGGCTTCTCACCGGGCCTAACAGCTGCCCAGGTTTCCAGTATTCCCCTCGCCCAACAGTGCTCACACACCGCACACGAGTGTTTCTCTACAGTCGGCTGGGTGGAGGCCAAGGGCGTGCACGTTCTGCAGCTTGAATCTGCCCAGCCCTTGCCAATCACAAGCCCTATTCTGCCAGGATGAGCGTGCCCCCTCCCCCACGCTCTCGCCGGTCAGCCCTGAGGCCACTCGAATGCTCAACACGACCCCCTTACCTTTCAAACCAGTTTCTTGAAATGACAGAAGCCACAGGCATAAGTCTGGTCTGCAGAGAAGTCTTGAGAGAGAGAAGTCCCAGCAACTCGGACGGGGACGCGAGGGAGACGACGCAGTGGCCGGACGTCGGGGGACGAAAGCCAAGGCCAAGACTGAGCATGAGCAAATAAAATCCGGCTGGGCTCTGGGCGTCTCCAGGCTGCTGGTGGTGTTGCCCCTCCCCAGGGAGCACCTTCTAGACGCAGTGACCCGCAGGGGACACCTTCTTGGTGGCGGTCACAGCAGGAGCTGCGGAGACCAGTTGGGAAAAGAGCCCGCAGCAGCAGGTCAGAGGCCCACCGCAGTCACAGTGGCCACGGGGCTGTGCCCACGGGTTTTCCGGAAGGAAGGCAGTGGCAGAGGGGCCAGCTGATGAGGGCCCGTCAGAAGTGAATGCCAAGGTCACACAGGGGCAGCACTTAGTGACCCCGTGCCACCTGGCCACATGACCTTGGGGCCTGAGAACCAGAGCAGCTGGAATCAGGCGTTGCTGTCCATCCCAGGGAGCTCTGCCCTGCGTTTCACTGTAAAATTCCCTGGGAAGCCGAGGAGACAGGCGGAGCCCACACAAGACAGACCAGGAAAAGTCAGGGCAGCAGGCCCTGCATGGGTGGGCGGAGCCGGCACTTCCCCGGGCGGGGCTTGCCCTCCCCAGTCGCCACTGTGGACAAACTGGAGCAGGCAGGGTCTCCTGCACCTCGGTAGCACCCACCCGGGCCCCGGCACGCGGTGGACACTCAATAAAAACCTGTGCACTGAACAAATGCCGTCGCCTGGCAGTCACTGGGGGCGGGTGGTACAGAGCTGGGCACACCGGGGACTGGGGAGGCCCACACGCAGGCGCACAGCAAACCAAGTCACCAGTACTTGGCTTTCCCTAGCCTGCACCAGGAGACTCAGCAGGTGCAGCAGACCCGGCACTGGAGAGAGTGCATGGCCCCCACCATGTGCTGTGTGTCCCCTTCCTGCCCCTGCAAGGCCTGAGCTTGGTGGGGTTTAGGGCCAGCAAGACTCGTCCCTCCCACAGCCTGAAATTCCTAGAAAGGAGAGAAGACATGGGAGGGCAACAGGAGCGCGAGAGAGCTTCCTGGGCCCTGTGGGGAGGCCGGAAGCTGCACAGGAGCTCAGAGCAAGCCAGCTACTGATTCTCAGCCCCAGGTCCCCAGCCTCGCCGAAGCCCCCCTTTCTCAAGCGCCCACGAGCCCAGGGGAGCAGCAGCCCTGAAGTGACCCCAGGCCCCCAGTGTGGACAGGCAAGCACTGGGAAGCACCATTCTGCGCCCAGCCCTGAAGGCCGGATCCGGCACCTGCTGAGACGAGCTGAGACGCAAACTCAGGCCCGTGGAGCTGATGGACTGAAATATCACCTCAGGGTGGGGTGGGGGGCATATGGAGGGTGCTTAGGGGTGTCGGCGCTTTCTCCACAACAGAAGCAAGGCCTGTAGAGTCGGGGTCCCTTCTCTGCACGTGACAGCCAGGACACCGGCATCCTTTATAGGTGCTGGTTCCAGTCCTGGCTGCTCCGCTTCCGATCCAGCTCCCTGCTAATGTGCCTGGGAAAGCAGCAGGAGATGGCCCAGGTGCTTGGGCCCCTCCCAACCATGTGGGAAACTCAGGTGGAGCTCCAGGCTCCTGGCTTCAGCTTGGTCCAGCCTTGGTTATTGTCCATTTGGGGATGGAAGCTGTGTATGTGTGTATGTGTGTATGCGTGTGTGTGTGCCTTTCAAACAAATCTTAAAAAAATATATAACCCATGGCATTCTCCAAGTTCCCCACCTGTGACTCAATGTACAACCCCTGTGGGGATGAGGGGGAGCCCTGAGGATGGTGTGGGGGCTGCAAAGAGAGGCCACCAAGTAGGAAATGTGCAATGGACAAATCACAAATTTGCCACGGTTACAGATCAGTAAAAATGCTTTGTTCATGGCCGGCACTGCGGCTCAATAGGCTAATCCTCCACCTGTGGCACCGGCACACTGGGTTCTAGTCCCGGTCAGGACGCCGATTCTGTCCCGGTTGCTCCTCTTCCAGTCCAGCTTTCTGCTGTAGCCCGGAAGTGCAGTGGAGGATGGCCCAAGTCCTTGGGCCCTGCACCCGCATGGGAGACCAGGAGGAGCACCTGGCTCCTGCCTTCGGATCAGCGTGGTGCGCCGGCCGCAGTGGCCATTTGGGGGGTGAACCAACGGTAAAGGAAGACCTTTCTCTCTGTCTCTCTCTCTCTCTCTCTGTCCACTCTGCCTGTCAAAAAAAATGTTTTGTTCATCTTTTGTATAAAATGGAAAAGGCAGCGACTGTTCCTATCAACTACTGCTTTTGTTGGGGGAAACGGTGGAAGGAAGCTAAAATCCCCTCCCCCATCAACACCCCTGACCAAGAGCAGCCAGGGGGCGCTGACCAAGCCCCAAAGCTGAGCACAGCTGCCCTAACCGCCCGGAAGACGGTGCAATTCCCAACAGTGGCCACCAGGTGTCAGGGCAGCCCCAAAAGTCCCAGGGAGGTCTGTGCGGGGCGCTCCTGGAGACAGTTCCTAAACTTGGGAGTCTTCGCCACACACTGATCTCCCCAGGGCCTCCCCGGCTTAAAACTGGAAGACTCCTCCAAAGCTCCGCGTGGAGCTTGTTGGAGCAAGGTGAGCAACAACTACTTGTCACCCCTCGTTGCCAGAAAATCAGGCGTCCAGGAAGCGCTCTTTACACAGCCGACCCCAGAGAGGGGCGAACCCACAAGGACCAGACGCGAGCCCGCAGGGGAGGTCGCTGGGGGAGGGCCCAGCAGGAGCCACGGCGCTGCCACCGGCCAGGCGAAGGACCTGGCCAGGGTCCAAGACCACCAAGGTGGAGGATGGCCTCTGAAGGTGGCCAGGCGGGCCCAGCCCTCCTTACTCGCTTCCCTCGTGGCTAACTGCTGGCGTCACTGGAGCCACGCCGGGTGGGAGCACGGTTGTTCGCCCATTTCACAGCTGGAGAAGTGGAGCGCCAGGGTCTGGCAGCCGGTGAGCAGCGCCGCCAGGGAGGCTCTGGTTCCCTGAGGGCTTGGCTGTGATGCCTTCCCCGCACCTCCCCTGTACCTCCGCCTTGGTGGGGAAGCTCAGGTGCGCTCACCCCGCGGGGCTGCTTCCTGCACCCAGCAACAGCCCCCAGCTCCCCCCCTCCCGCTGGCTGCTGATGGAGCGGCTCAGAACTTGCACTGTGGAGAGCGGGGGCAAAGAGGAACAACGGGGTCACCTCCGTGCATGGTCACCTCTGTGGTCACCTCCGTGCATGGTCACCTCTGTGCATGGTCACCTCCGTGTGTGGTCACCTCCGCGCTCCGTGCATGGTCACCTCCGTGTGTTGTCACCTCTGTGCATGGTCACCTCCGTGTGTGGTCACCTCTGTGGTCACCTCCGTGCACGGTCACCTCTGTGTGTTGTCATCTCTGTGTGTTGTCACCTCCATGCGTGGTCACCTCCGTGCATGGTTACCTCCATGTGTGGTCACCTCTGTGGTCACCTCCGTGCACGGTCACCTCCGTGTGCAGAACCACAAAATGGCCACGCACCCGCCCTCTAGCCTTCAACCATTGTAGGTCTGAATTCTTCTTTTATTAACTTTTTTTTAGCAATTTTGGTTTTCATTGTATTTGCAAGGCAGAGTCTGTGGGGGGCCTGAGGAGGTTGAGGGAGCGCTCGAGGCTGTAGCTGGCCACTCAGAAGCGTCTGTGCCGGGTGGACGTTTGGTGTGGCCATTAAGATGGGTCAAGATGCCCCTCCAGGGGCCGGCGCTGTGGCTCAGCGGGTGAGGCCACCAGCCGCTGCTCCAGCATTCCATATGGACACAAGTTTGAGTCCTGGCTGCTCCACTTCTGACCCAGCTCCCTGCTAATGCTCCTGGGAAAGCAGGAGAAGACGGCCCACGTGCCTGGGCCTCTGCACCTGGTGGGAGACCTGGATGGAGTTCTGGGCTCCTGGCTTTGGCCTGACCCAGCCCTGGCTGTTGTGGGTGATGAATGATATCCCTCTCTGTGTCTCTATGTACCTCTGTCTGTGTGTCTCTCTGCTTTTCAGGGGAAAAATGAAAATATAAGTGTTTTTTTTTTTTTTTTAAGCAGGAAGCGGCTGACATCTGATCTGGAAGACGCGGGCTGGTGGAGTCTGACGCTGGTCCTCAGCGGCTGGTGTGGCCCTAAGTTGCGAGGGAACAGAACACTGGTCCACAAACACAGGTTTCCATTTGAAACCCAGACGCGTGGCCTGTGTGCTCCAACGTTCCCACGCCCCCAGAGAGGGGTTCCTCTGTGCCTACCGCACCGGCCATCCAACCTGCCCTGCTCCGGCAAGGCCACTCCCGGCTGTACTTCTGCTCTGCCAGCAGAGGGCGCTCCTGGCTCGCAAGTCCTCCATCTCCACGACGCTGTGCCAGTTCTCCAGGGCCTGCTGGGTGCAGGAAGCACAGGAAAAAAGGAGTTGCCCAAGCTGGCTCGGGGAAATCGAAGCCTTTCCAGACGCCTGCAAGAGGCAGGGGCACAGGTCACAGCAGGGAGGCTGCACCAGCGCCCACCGGGACTGGCTCACCTGGGGCCCCACTTCCCCATCCAGGGCCAAACCCAAGGCCTGTTGGGGCTGAGTTTACACAATTTAGGAGCATTGTTTTAAATATACACAAATTTACAGAAACAACGTTAGAGATGGAAAATGGATGCGTGTTCAAAATGAGGGAGGAAATCAACAATTTCCCACTTTTGAAAAGCCGAGGGTGCTACAGGGCCGGCCGTTTGGCCTGGTGGCTAAGTCCTGCGTGGGGTGTTCATGACCCACCTCAGTGTCCCTGGGTTCGAGTCCCAGCTTCTCCTCTTCTGGCTCGAGGCTCCTGTTAATGCGCACCAGGGAGGCAGCAGGTGAGGGAGGGAGGGCTCAAGCTCTTGTGCCCCTGCCACCCCCGCGGGAGACCCAGATGGAGTTCTCAGCTTCCGGCCCCAGCCCCAGGCGCATGGAGGGCATCTGGGGAGTGACCCAGTGGACAGGAGTTCTGTCTGTCTGTCTGTCTGACTCTCTGTCTAGACCATCAGAAAGCCAGCTGCCAGTGCCACACATGTGGCCTCCCCCCATACACGGGGCCTCTGCACACAAAGGCAGCCTGGGTTCCGCTGGCCCCTGCTCTCGGCTCTCGGCTGTGGGAAGGGGAGTCTGGGGCAGCGGGCAGACAGCGTCCCAAGGCAGAGGCTGGTGTCCCTGCTGGGGAGAGGAGTCCAGGAGCTGCCCTGCCGAGCAGCTGGTCTACCTCTCCAGGCTCGTTGGCCAGTGTAGCCACACATGGCCATGTGGGGTGCTCTGCCTGCCCCTCTGCTCTGGGGGCACGAGGCAGCCTGCCTCCCGTCTCCACAATGGGCCTTTGATCCCCTCAGGGTGATGTTAAGACCCTAAAACCCACAGCTCCCAAAATGCCTGTCCCCAGCGCTGCGACATAAGAAACAACCCCTCCCCGAAACCAGTGGGGAAATCCCAGAATGCAAAGTCTCTACGAGAATGAGCAATAGCACATTTGCTTATTTAGTGTGCAAGCGACTTCAGTTACATTCCAGAAATACAGATTGAGGACTGACTGGGTGCCCAGTGCTATGGGAGGCGTGTTTGAAGTCCATCAGTGAGGGGCCGGCGCTGTGGCGCAGTGGGTTAAGCCTCTGCCTGTGATGCCAGCATCCAATACGGGTGCCGGTTGGAGTCCCAGCTGCTCTACGTCCAGCTCCCTGCTACTGCACCTGGGAAAACAGCAGTAGATGGCCAAGGTGCTCGGGCCCCTGCACCCAGGTGGG